CACACGCACAGTTAGGTATACAAGTAGGGGGTAGGCATATCCTCTTCCTCTCCCCACGTGACAGCAGCCTGGGGGTGGTTTAACGTCGGAAGCCTACACCCACCCTTGTCAAAGGAGTGGAAGACTTCTAAAGCCTCCCTATGTCTCCGCTCGGCATGCAAACATTGCTTATGCTGTCGGTGGTGGCTTGACACCGACCACTTTCATTCTCTTTCAATCTGTTTAACTTGGTGAAGCGAAACCATGCTGAGTGAACCACTTTCGACAGGAGGAATAGGAAAATTCGGTTGTTTTCTGTCTTAGCGACATCTCCTCCCCACTCTTCCCTTCCCAGTTCTAATCCAGCAACCCAACTCAAGTTGCATTTTCTTATGCCTTGTGAAAAGAAGGCATGCTGCAGAATGCAATACAAAACTCTGACAGGAAGGTTTGATATTTTTTATAGAAATTCCACATTGTAAGCGTTGCATTGGCTTATTCTATGCAATCGATTTCAGTAAAAGTTGTAGTTCAACCATTGTGGAATTCAGCCTGCAAATTATTTTTTTCATTATTATTATTATTTCTGGTTCTTATTAATTACCAATTATTTGGGCAATTTGGTTACCTTCAGAAATAACAAGCTTTTCAAATGAATCAATAGGCATCCAGCGGAGACCAGACTGCTTGGCAAAGGCACAATGAAGAGCCTCCAAATGCTCTATTTCCAAAATCAAAAGTGGAGAAGCATTGGCCATACTTAACCTCAACGACGGACTGGACACGGTCACGTGTAATTAACCGAATTCCATCTGACGGCGCTTCTGTTTATCCTTAAATGAAAAGTCAATCTGTTTGTCCACTAATACCGATTGAGTTGCCTCATCCTTAAATAATATATTCCAATAATTTAGAAATATGGGGCGAAAAATTATGGCAACAATAATAGCTACTGGATTCCTAAGCGAAACGCAAACTACGAAAGATTTCTTGAAACGAGTAAAGAACGAGCTATTTATTTAGCACTTTAAGCGCGGCATCCAAAGCCTGCGCGATTTGAAAACTGTGTATTACCATCTCTATATGACTAGCAGAATGGGCTCAACAAAAAATTAACAAATCTGAGGGTTAAGGTATCAACAAAGCTTGATACACTGGTTTTCAAACTCAGGATACTAAAGTTTGTCTTTGGCCATTTGAGATGGTCTGTTGCTCATGTCATTAGTTCCAAGCCGCGACGCATCAAATATGCACATTATTTCTGGGAAATTTGGTCTTCTCTTGCCATTGAGAAAACCCGGAGAACTACGAAGACGTGAATTCGACAGACGGGTGGTAAGCCCGGCGCAGCCGTTGGACACAGATTTCCAAATTGAGTTCGATTGCAGTCAGTTCGAATGACTGTGTGAAGTGGGCCCTTCAGTTTATTTAAAGAGTCTATTTCTTACAGTTATCTTTCTTAAACAAATTGGATTTTATTCTAGAATCCATAGTGTAACTTCAAAAGTAGTCGATCATCATTAGAGAAAGACACTATCAAATAAGGAACCAATCCTTTGATGATTTTACTGGACAATCGGTGTCGACTGCAAGCTGAAATGGTTGCTATTGTCTCTGACCGGTGCGTTGGCATCCAGGCCAAGTCAAAAGCTCAGGTTATTCGAATTCTCCTGAATGCACATGTACTAAAACCACGTATTGACTTATAAGAAAGTTTCGAGACGCTATACTGATGTCAGCGATAAACAAACCCTACTATAGCAGGATTGCTCTCCTGGTTTCCAATGCTTGCGGCAAACACTTGAGGTATGGTGAGCTTTCGCATTCTAAGGAATGGAGAGACTAATATTCCTCCGGACTACGTGTTATCTGTAGCGTCCCAAGACTTCCCGTAGGTTAAAGGAAAGCGGTAAGTGTGGTCGAATGCATGTATTCCGAAGAGAGCAGAGTCCACCAGTACAAGGGGCAGACAAGTCTTAAAGTGACCGCTAAACGCCAGGTAGCCACGTAAACGAAGCATTACACTACCCATGCGGGATTGTGTTAAACCTAGTATTCTCTCCTATGGATTAGTTTTTTGGATCCGGTTTCTGTCGCTTAGTATTGAGCACACACGATGGACAGCATAATCATCAGTTTCTTGATTTGATTTTTTAGGTCGAAACCAAACATCAACTCAAATTGAAGCTGTTGAGAGGTGAATTATCTCTCTCCAGTTGCATAGGGATTGGTAATTGGTGAAGGTGTCTCATGGAACACCTGTTACATTGTGCTTTCTGACGAAAAGTTTGAAGCTCCTAAGAAGTCGATTAAAAGAATGCTTGTTTGTTGATCGATATTGGTGGAGGGAGCTTTAACAGGTATGCTGAATCTCAGGGGTGGGATAGCCCTTAAGCAAAAACGTCTCTTTATTTTCTCTATGATTGTATGCAATTAGCCGAGTACTATGCTTTGACTATCTAGTTGAGGGTCTTAGGACCCCATACAGGCCTATTCGAAGAAGTTAGTGTTAATTATAACAATACTTATGCGCATATCACGTACCATGCTAAATAAAATGTGTGGGATACGTTTCGAAACCTTCAGCCTAAGCTGCATTCGGTTGCCTAAACAGACAAATTGTTCTTCTCAAACTTCTAGTACTAAATATACGCCAGGGCTTAGAAACTAAGATCACTTATATTAAGGCTTAACAACACCTTTTTATAGTTCCAGCCCCTTTTAACAACATAAGTCGATTTTCTTGGCTCCCTTAAGCAGAAAGGCATGCACAACCTTTAATTGTGGAATAGATCCCGTTGATATAACTAGAATTATTGAGAAGATAAAAATATGATGCGAAATTATGCAGACTTTGTTTATTCAAGTTGATGACAACGAACCTTCCTTGAGTACCTCCTTGACCGGTGAAGACGGTCGGCTTTTGGCGATGAGCGGTGCGCATGCTTGCTTAATTGAGTTTGTTCTGATTTTCTATTGTTTGGATATGCCCCGCAAATTCTACCAGATTTATCCTCTATGTTGTTTTCCTAGTGGATTTTTGCGTCATCCACGAACTTTCGTTTTGCGAATAATTGAAACTTTGGAAGTTCCGCAACTGGTTAACCAGTGTCGTTGAGCTAATACTGGACCTTTCGAGTTGTTTTTTTGAGCTGAACACTCATTTTTGGATTTTCAGATCGGTCGCTAAGACTTGACTATGGAGGTCGGCTTTTTGGGACGTCCGAGTATGCTCATTTAACACTCACAGCGCTTATGACGTTACCGCAGAATAATGGAAGCAATTATTAGCCGTCATCTGTTTGTCTTAGCATGTGTGATATTTTGCGCTTTTAAGCCAACTTTCATAAATCTTTGTGACAAGATACTCTGCTATGTTTCAAAGCTGGTTTTTTGCCTTGAGTATGTGAAAGTATGCTAAATCCATTTATACCCCTATAAATGTTGTAGTACTTGCAAACATCTGTCGTTGTTTAATCTACTACACGAAATCGCATATTTTTCCTCAATTCTCAGTGTTAATGTGGCAGCTTCTGCGATTGAGGGCCTTCCCGATGAACAACGCACATCACCCGTCCGAAGAACTTTTCTCCTTTCTATTTTCTTCGAGTTTGTTCTCATCTTGGCACTATGGTTGATCTACATTCGGGTATGCTTTTTGGTGCATCTTTTCATGCTCCCCAGCTGGTTTTGCTCGCCATAATCATAACAGGGAGCCTCATTTTTTAATCGTTTCCCAGACAGTGCAACTTTTCGTCATCTGATTTGCCTTGAGATCACGAGCCAGGTTCGAACTATTTTTTTGTCCTAAATCTTTTGGCCGTGGCCCATTTGCCGAAGTCTCTTGCGATTTGTTGTTTCCTCTTGGGGTCGTTTTGAATGTCCTGATTCAAGTGGCCCTCCAAAGTCATTCCACTTGTCCTGCCGTTCTTCTCTAGAGGCTATTCGCGTTCATGCGTTCTTTTTGATGTAGCTTAATTTAAACAGTCTCGTTGAACCCGTCTTCGGACGTAGTTTTGTTTAGATGCTTGTAGGGGCCATATTCTTGGTTATGTTTGTTTGGCCTACCTGAGAATATCTGGAACCGTGAGATCTGTACCTCTCTTGTGATTGCTTAAGTCCTGAGTAAAGTGTGTGCAACTATCTCTTCTAGACACTCGGCGACTTTGCCGAACAGATCAAGGACCAAGTTGTAAACATGCGATTTAACACAACACTCTTTGATGTCCAGGTATGTTTATAAAAGTAAGTAATGTTTTATTCCCTAAATTGATTGCGGAGATGGATTACAAAAAAATTACTTAAATCTCTAGGGTGCAACTAGTGAGTGCATTACTCTGCACCACTTGACCTTTGTAAATGAGGAGTTTAGCCTACATTTCCGACTGAAAAAAAACTACATGCATTACTGCCACGTCACAATACTTGTGTCAGATTAGTTTTGCTAAAAAATGTAAAAACCTGCACCTTTGCTTGCATTGGAGCAATTAATGTTTCCGACATTAGCACGAGAAACGCATAGTTTAAATTGAATCACATGCCTTGAGGTCTTCACTGGCTGGACACGACTTTTATGGCGAAATTAAGTTTTACATTTCGTAATTCCTGCTTTCATGTTGTTTATATCCTCAACAGATGTATCAATAATTCAGTCTATAAAATGGTGTGTACCTTTATGAAGATCATTTTGTCGACCTATTTGAGCTTCCTTTCAATCGCCCGTTCTCAGTTTTCGGCATGTAGGTTTATGCTTAACTGAAATCTCTCAGTTCATGGTTCGGTACTTGCAGTTCATGATGTTCGAGAGGTGTGTTGCACAACGGCTTTCAGATTTAAAGAAAGCAGCTTTCAATAAATGACGATCGCTGATTTTTTCGACAGTTATGTGCTTTCAACATTCGATTAATGCCGTAGCACTTTGTCAGCGTGTCTGAACCGTCTTGACTTTTCGCACCTTCAAGCTTTCGCTTAAGTGCGCATCTATGATGTGTTTATAGTTATCACGGAATGGCGTTTCTTGCGTATTAGCATTATTATGGGCTCATTGCCCGCAGGACTGATCAAGGCGTTTTGAACTCGGTACCTGGCCTGGACTTGTTTAAGATGTGCGTCAGCACGCCTTATGTCCACTATATCACCACGCTTCCAATATGATATGCTGGCTGATTCGTCCTCTTTTAGGTTATAGCCGCTAGCCGCCTAGTTTTTCTTGAAGTGGCGTACGGAGCGTGTATGACCTGTCACCGATGGCCCTCTGCCGTGAGTTGCTTTTCGTACAGTTGTGTTGTCTCAAACCAACATCCAGAATCGATTATCTTTGATTAACTCTTTAGTAAAGTCGAAATTCCATAGTAAATTAGAAGGTTGAGATGAATGCTCTTAGTGGTCATTGCAGCTTTTTACATTGTTGCAAGTAGTGAATGGACTCGGCAAGCAAATTGTTCGATGTACAGAAAAATTGTTGTACAGCGTCTGTTATCCACCGTTTAAGCGATTCCAGTGTCGTTTTTTTTTTGTTTTCAGGGGTTGTTCTGACTTATCATGATAGATCTAGTCATAACAGTTTACTCATTCTTATTCCCCACAATGCATTAATATTTTTAAGCCTTACAATACCGTGTCGTAAAAATTCAATCACTATCGCTGTGGCTCTTGGTAAATCCGTTGTTTTCACACTTTTGTTCAGTCATTTTAAGAGGCCGTGGTTACCAACAGATAGCCCGAATTTCATGAGTACCAAGGTATCAGTCTTAACGATGTTCCGGTTCGTTGCTCTTGGATCGGTATTAAAAACATATGATGCGCATTTCTTTCCGGTCCGCTGTACTTGCGGGGCATAGGTGTGGGCTTTTCTTGGTGTAAAACAGCAGTTCAACTGATCGATGCGAATGTGGAGGCATTTGTGCCTGACGTGAGGGCCAAATGTTAAATAGTGGACAATTTTGCGTTTGTTCCGAATGGGAGTCTATCAGGACTACTCCTTGTTAGACTAATGAAAATAATAACTATGGCGGCCTATTTTCCTCTGTAGGCTTGATAACAAACTTGTTGGTGATTTTTTTCGCTTTATTGTTGTCGCGTTTTGGGCTTTTTAGGTATCCACGGCTGTTACGACGGCCTATATGTTTGCGAAGTGCGCAATGTTTGCAGTGAGTTGCTATTTGCATGTTTGATGTCTTCGTCTTTTATGTCATTTTGGGTTTCTTTGTGAAAATGCACAATTTCTCATCTACTAAATGTTCTCCATTCTCAATCTTTGTTAAACAATGCATTCTTTAACGGACTCCAGCTCTCATCACAACACGAAAGCATTGGCCTGTGCTACACTAATCTCGTTTTGCCCATCGTTATGGCCTGGCTGCTCACCCTTTTTCTGGAGTGTCGTGTTCTCCCTCGAGAGAGGATGGCCAATCGAAGTAAATGCCCTTTGTTTCTCTTATCACTTTATGAGAACCTCTTCTCTATTGTTATCACATGTGCCGTTTACCAGATTGGGAGTGGAGTCTATGAAAAATGTGGTTATCGCCGTACCAATTGAAAACTAATAAGTAAGATGTGTTTCTGTGTCGGTCTCAACTTAAGGAGTTGGAAATATGGTAGTGTGAAAGTCAAGGTTTTTAGGAGGCAAATGAAACTGAGGATTTCTCTTATTATTCTAGTCCCTTTTATTTCAAAGAATGACTACAATTCATCTGTATGAAGTAGTCCTTTTGTCTCTAGGCTCTGCAAATTCTATTTAAGGGGCCTCTACAGCTCTGGAACCAGGCTGAATCCGATCGGCAAATCAGGCTCCAGTCACATTAATCGGGTCTAGCCGTCAGTTTGTATAATTATCCATAGTAAGGTCGAGATGTCAGCAAACGCATTAAGGAGTAGTGTTTTGATAACCTGAAGCATACTTGCGCTTTTTAACGCACACAAGCAGTTCCATTTGCGTCAAAAAAAGGAAAAAAAATTAAATTATATCATCAAAGATTGCCATGAATTGCACGAATCGACTTAGCATCGAAGTGGTTTTAAGTCCGAATTAATTGTGCCCATTAGGATGAGAAAGATTGTTAGCGTAGACATGGCATTTACTATTCGTTATGCTAACGTTGATAAAGCCAAATTACCAGAAATTTAAAGAGTTCGCAGTCGAAATAAGCCCATTTTTGTGACGCTAGTCGTCTACTCGTATCAACGGATGAACCCGGACTACTTCTCTGCCATTGAAGCACAGTCGGCACATTTCGCCTCTGTTCGTCAATGGGCGGCCAGAGCAGCTACCTCACGTGGTGGTGGCAGCATCTACGAATCTCCTGAGGGTATGAGCTTATCCCTTGCTGTTAAATTAATTGTTTCCAAAAAGTGCTGGAAATCTTACTCCTCTCCAACTTCTTTACTGTCGCCAGTGATTGAGTCGTCATGTCTATTAACCAATATAGTTTACCTTCTTGCTAATGCTCCAAGTAGATTTGTCAATCTTTTTCTGGAAGCAATGGTTTCATTTTGTTGTGGAGAAATAGCACTTTACCGTGCTAGAAAGGTACAAGGAAATGTTTACGTAAACGCGCTGCTCGTGTTTATTCGGTGTCCTGATGTGCTTTACGCCTTCGGTTTCAACGTGAATGGGATGTTATCAGGAGTATGTGCGATTCAGTATGAGGTCACTTCACAATCGGTTCTTTGAATATTGGCTCGAAATTGATACTCCATGTGCTTTATTATTATTGCGATTAAAGAGGAGTAGTATATTTGAAATTTGCTCCGGCAAATCAGTAATTCATAGATTGAAAGCCGAGGCCTATTTGTAGGAGGCTAGAGAAATGTTTATGAGTTCAGTCGATTTCAGTGCTTATCACGACTGAAGGAAGAAAAGGCTTGGTGACTGACTGAGGCATGGAGACCGCAACATTAAATAACATCGATGTCGTGATGCCGTGACACTCAGGAGCTTTCTTTCATGGCTATCTGCTTACATCTTGCCACCATGATTCGGTCATTCTATTTATCAGAAATGTGGGAAGCTTAAGCACAGCATCTGGGCCTCCGTGGTGCATAAGGACATCAATCAGAATGCAAGCATAAAAACTGTAAGTGAAGTCGAACAATCAGCTAATCGGAAACATGGGCTAAATTGTCCTTAAAACAGATTGACGAGCATTATATTTTGTTGTAGTGATCTCATGAACGTTGTGAATGTTGAGGTTTGTGGGTGGCTTACAAAGACTCGCAACTTTTCATTTTTTTACTCAATAAACGTCGATTCTGTTTTACGAGATAAACCCGACAAAATCAGTATTGCAATTATCAGATGGCTTTTTTTGTATTAACTGAAGCCTTAGTGAACTCATCATTTATTTCTTTTTGTAGGCTCCTTTATTAATGACACAGAGTCCTTACTTTGCGTCTCAAAGTACAACTCCGGAGGCGCCAACGATGCGCCCGTGGATGTAAGGTTTTTATTAGCCTTTTGGACAATGCCCACTGCCAGCGTTAGACGGAAGTTAGCCAATGTGGTTCGTGAAGAATTTTAAGCTTCTATCTAAGATTCACAGGTGTATCCGAATTCTTTCCTCAATTTTAATTTACTCCTAGATGTCACCGTGACGGCCTTACTAGATCTTACTATGAATGAAACGATGGTTTATTGTCATGGTCGTACAAAGGGCATATTGGCCATCATAAACCTGACGTGAATTACTGTATTGGCTAGATTTGCGGTGTCTCACTGCATTTTCAGCTTGTTAGAGGACGTTATCATAACAATGGGTGATCGATTAGAACGCTCTGAAGCTCTTTTGCTTCTTTGCAGGTAGCGGCACTTTTGACCCGTGCAGAGAGTTTGCGTCAAAGTGCTTGGAGTGTCTTTGAGGACGAGGCGTGGATCGAAGTTGCCTTATCCTCCTCCATAAAATCCGGATCTTCCGTCACCTCAGCCGATCTCCGCGGCTTCAGTCAGAGGGTCTTTCGTTTGGACGTGAGTTGCGAGGAGCAGATTTCCGTGTTAATTAGGGGTCTTGGAACTTAGAGAACATGGAAAGGAATGCATTCCAATAAGTGATGTTCAAACAACATCCAATTTAGACCCCTCAGTTGTCATGGCATAAGAATGTTACCAATTATTGATTTGATACTGATTACCAAGTAGTAACAGCATTTTGTGATAGTGATTTCATTCAAAATACGTGAAGTGTTTCTGTTCCAATTAAACAAGCGCATTACTTCTCATGTGAAAAATACGTACAATACCGGCCGATTCAATCAGCTTTCCAGCCTCTGTTTATTGTTAAGGCAAGAAAGTGATTGAGGTGGATTCGCTTATTGAGAATTTCGTACCCTCTTTTCCCAAAGGCAATACTTCATGCACGGGTCAAGACCATTTTCAATGACCTCGTTCATGGATTTGAGTTTTCGCCCCTCTGGAACTCGACGATCGAATCTGCAAGAGTACGTGCTTGGAGCCTCTTCCACGCCCCCATCCCCTATCCTTCGTGACATCTGACCTCCCAAGTTAACTGCATTCTCTCTCATCTCCATCTAGTGTCTGCAGAAGTTTCCCCATGAGGATCTGGATATTGTTCACCTCGTAACCAAGGAAGTTCTGGGAGGCCTCATAAAACCAAGGTGTTTGTCTTCTCATTTCCTCCTTATATTTCAAAGATTTTCAATGAAATTATTCATTTTCTTAAAGTATTACTCGTGAACTTGGTATTCTGCTCACTGTTTAAACGTCTATTGTGATTTCCAAATTTTTGCTTACCGAGTTGTTTTCCTCGTTGCAAATCTAATGTATTGCAGACAGCTCAAAGCAAAGAAGAAATTTAGTCTCTTGTAAAAAACAATGAGGGGTAGCAGTTACTTTTCCTCTGAGCTACATATTGACAATGTGAAATGGCTTTCTGTGAAACAAACTTGCCCTCAGCGTCTCTTCCACTGTGAGTATTCGAAGCTCATTCATCTACGGTGTCATCTGTCTACGGTGCCTGGTTCCGATCTTTATCTGAAACAGATTGCTCACGCTGTCGACAATGCGATGTCTGACGCACCCTCATTGAAATGTATAAATATAGGGGCAAGTCTAGCAAAATAGAAGAGCTGATGGACTGTAAAGCTAAAGGAAGCTTGCAGAGGATGAATATGAAACGAAGTTATAATATTTATTTTTGACTAGTTTTTTAAACTGCATCTCCCAGAGTCTTGATATCTCGGGACCTTAACTGGACACCAAAATAAGGAGACTGGTCTAGATGGCTTTGTGGTCGCTATTTGACGACGAATGGTCTTGAGTCGAAGGCAAATATTTGTACTTGGGGTGCATCGTCACGGAAATCAGTCTAATCGAGGATAGGAGCCTCACGCTTGTGCAAAATGTTTTTTCACTATTTTTAAGGGGCACGAATAGTCGAAAATTGGAGGCAAAACTGTTTATGAAATGGTAAACATACTCACCTATGCTGTTATGCAGAGAAACTCAGGTTTACTCATGCAGACAACCTTTTCTGTACCGCTCTTCTTCAGGGACTTTGTAGTGCTGAGGGCGTGGGGTGTCAAGGGTGATACTTGCTATGTCGCCTCATCATCTGTCGTTTTCCCCAAGTGCCCGCCCGTGGAAACGTGTGTTCGGTACGGATTTTATCTCTCCTCATCTCGTTAAAAATGAATCGAGTTTAATAAACTTGTTCAATTTCGATTTTACAACTGACTTCCCATTCCTTCATGACGTAGTTTTTGTAGCTCTTATACTCGTCCTTAGTATTAACCGAATATTTGTGCTTGAGGATGAAGACGATATCATTCTCCATTCGGTTGTGAAAATCAGTCCTACTCCAAGAGCTCATGTTAAGTCAAAGTAATACCCGGTGGTTGTCTGATTTTGGTTTGAGGTGATACAATGAATCTTTGGTATTTTATCTAGTAACTTCTTCAAGCCTTTACCTTTAAATCCGCATCAAGAAGTCGCTATTCACCTCCTCATTTTTGCTTCCTGTTCGCTTTTCAGGGCTGAACAACTGATCAATGCAATGTTTCTTCAGCCGAGTGGAAGCGTTTGCCACTTCGTTTGTATCACTTGCTGCGACCTCAAGGTAACCGCCTTCTCTACTTTAATGCCTTATCCTTCACTGAACTCTCTTTGCTACTTTTATGGGAAATTCACTGTTCTTGGTACTTTTTTCGCATTTGGCTGCATTACGCACGCAGCAAAGCATCCTATTTGCGAATGGTCGATGGTCTAACCTAATGGGAGCTAAATCAACTACAACCTTAGTTGGCAACACGACTGATTGAGGTCCTGTAAAACCAATTAAACGAATGCAGCCGTTGTATACAGTGCCTTTCCTGAAATGAGACCTTAATTTTCGTCTCGATCTAAAGCAACAGTTTATGTTAATGGCTTCACAAAAAAGCAGGTGTGAGTACTGTCGCTATTAGTTCGAATTTGACTTTTCTTGGTGGGTAAACGGACCCATAAATACAATAACAATAACAAAGAACTGTTTGTTGCTTATTTTGACAAGCCTATTTTTGATTGCAGTGAAATGCGCGAGAGCTGAAAGCCCTCTTTACCCATCATAAATAAGTTTTTTACTACTACCACTGACGAAGTGTTGCCAATTTTTTCGCTGTTATATTGCCAAACTCATCTCCTTTCCTTGCTTAAAATGTATCAGCACAAACTTTTGATCAAGGATAACGGTCTTATGTATAGTAACCTAGTTCTTTGGACGATATGGATCTTTTCGAAGCTGTTATAAAGCACAGAGGCGTTCTCCATTGGTGTGCGCCACACAGGGAAAGAGAAATGTAGAGCCCTTCAGATAGCGTTTATCAGCCTATCTCTTTCACTTACACGAAGGAGATCGAAGATATGCTGACCTTCAAGTTGGTCGCGGACTCTTCTCTTCAGTCTATGGGTGCTTTGCTCAAATGTGACACTAATTTTACTCTTACATGGCTGAAGATGCAAGCGGCCCCAAACCAAGTATTCCTTCACTGACTTTATTAAGCTCATAAATCCAGTCATTGGCAAATGCGCACGACTGTCGACTATAAGGTTAGGGAATCTCTCGCGCTTCACCACTGAGCTCTAACATTCAAAAAATGAATATTTACTAATGGATTGGTAACAATGCTTTGGGAGCAATGACTGTCTATGTATTCTTAATTGTCTCTGGCGCACATCACTTCTTGCTTGTTTCGGAATCGAATATGAAGTTGTTGAAAAGAGGAAAAGAGGTTTATTAAAAGACGGGAAACTTCTTGCCTCTCTGAAGCGAGACCGCCGTTTAGATATCTTTGACCTACCATGATTTGATAGTGCGTCCACACGCTCTAGGGCAGCCCACTTTGTTTACCTGTCATCGATAAAAAATGCAAAATCTTCGTGCATTCTATTGTGCCCTATTTTTAGGGACTCGTACGAGTGTATGTGCTGTAAAATTGTTGCCGAGACAAAAATTATCTACTTTCTAAGTTGAATGCGTACTGAACTAACTGATGCACTGTGAAGTGGAAATGGTTGAGTTCTGTCCTTGAAATCTTTTGCGTGTCGGTGAGGATAATGGACACCTCGGTCAAAAGAAATTTCATCACACCGAATTATGCCAGTGCCCACCCTTAGCAGCTATTGCTCGACGCCGCCAACGTGCTTCATTCATCAATACGCGTAATCTAGACGATTTGCCATCCTCAGATAGCCAAAACTCAACTGCAGTGTCAGTCGATCCGGTTCCACTTTATTTCAGAATATCCCAAGTTGGTTTTCAAGCCAATTAGTGGCAAGAGGAGTGCAGGCGTCTCTCAACTCTCTCTACCAATCTCTTCAGAAGCGTGCTATCTCTTTGAGTGCCGGTGTGGAGGACTTTGACGAGTCTATAATTCCTCGGGCGCCGCCTTTGCCAACTCGACAGCGTCCAGTACTCGATGAGGCCTGCTAATGCCTTCCCTCCTCCCCTGTACATAATTATTATTTTCAGATAGAACCTTCTTGTATTGCACATGCTTTTAACACTTGAATACCTTGGTCAGGAGAGAGAAGCTAAGAGGAATCTAATGAAACCGTTCTTTTATACATAGTGGAAGAATGTGTAAATAAGATAAGAATAGAGTTTTTGATCTCTGGCATGTCTCTGGGCCTACGTTTGAATGCAACAGTCGGGAAGCTTAATCTTCGACTTCTTCGTGATGCGGATGCCACTGCTCTGGCAGTCGTTTCGGTACTTCATTGCTCTGAGATGAGAAGAACGAAATCAAGTTTAGGTATTAGGTGTGGTTATTTGAGACTACATAGCTCAGACAGTTCTTAACTATTGACTGATTTCTCAAAGTTAAGAGCGACTTTTCATAGGTTAGACTGTTGTCTGGCAGAGGTAGGCTGGCGTCTTATTAGCTTTTAATTGGCAGGCGGTGTGCTGCTTTGGAACTCGACATCCTAGGTAAATCTTAAATGCGGATGGATGGTCCTACACACATGATTGGGGTGTAGTGTTGTTTGATTTTGGGTAGTCCTGTGTTCGCAATAGGAGGTATGGCTGCAATATGTTAGTAGCCCTTTCCTCATCTGAGCCTTTATGGTACGCATTTTCCGTTTTATCATTGGATTTTCTTTCGTTTTCAAGGCAGAATCAAGGCGATACATTGAAGACGATGGAAGACAATCCCGATCCCAGAGAACATTCGCCTTGGTTTTCACAGAAGTATACTAATGTCTTTATGCGATGGGAAAATTCTGTGACAATCTTCATCAGAATCTTTAACGATGACTAGCTTCGATAACCAATCCACTCCATGGTTTATAGGAATTCGAATCACGGCGAGTGATATTGGGCGTGACCATAACTCATCTGGCAAAGTTCTCTACAATGCCACTCGTGCTAACTGCACAAAAACGGTTAAAGAACGGTACCTTCTCAACCTCTACTGGCTGCAAGTAGTAAGAAGGAAAGTCGCAAAACCTCATAACCACGAGATAATCTAAAATTGTTCCTTATTAAATGATGGCGATTGTAAGTCAAGGTTCTTGAAATTATCAACGGACATTCAAGATCTCTTTTACATTCACCGAATAAGACAAAATGCCCGACCCAGTGGAATTTCCAAGCTCGATCAGTGAAGTAACAATATGGTAGCTTAGTTAGACTCAATTTTTGTGGCCAATACGACCGGTTAGAGGGTGTCTTGATTATAAGAACGAATATATGGGGAGCCAGCTCAAACGATCAGTCAAGAGAAGCGCCGGAGACGACAGTTAGTCCTAGCAATTCAATAGTTGCCTTACCATACATCTGGATGCAGTATTAGCTGTTGAGTTCAATCTACTCGACTATTCGTCGTTAAGTCATGATTCTGGTAATCTGGAAAGCTTACCTCCGCCTAACCATTCAAATATACAAATGAAGATTATACACAATGTAATTATTCATGCATTTTGATAACTTCTTTGCATCACTCGATCTATTTGAAAGATCTTGCTTAAGCTGCACACGCACCTTCACTCAAGTATGTGCTCGTGGTTGCCCTGTACTAACAAAAGTTGAGCGATGGAGGAATGGATGAGCAGGTCGATATCCAGAACTCCATCAACTTAACTTACAGGGAAGGGAGTTTTCACCTTTTTGCATAGTGAACGGTGGCCATCAATTTCTAAGACAACTGACACTCACCTGGCCAAGCTGACGATAACTTCATCGATGTTGATGCTATTGAGTACACTTGTTTCGATGAAGTCCGCTTTGTAGGTCTGAAATGTATCCGACTATATGAGTTAGATTTTCAGAGACATTATTATTGAAAAATTGTGGAATTTATAATCTCGAACCCTTAAAACAAAGAATGTTCACTTGATGTGGTAGGTTGAACACTTGTGACAAGTGACTAGAGAAGTTGGACTTAAAAGCAAGTGTAGCAGGGAATGTGCAGGTTTACAAGCATCCTGTACGAAAAACTTGTTTTCATAAGGATGATGATTTGGTGTAAGTTCAAGAACAAATGAATTCGGCTAACATTTTTCTTAATAAATTAAGTCCGGGTCAACGACTTTAAGGCCAGGAGCTTTGAATATCATCAAGAAATGGGCAATGCAAACAAATCGAGATGTTTTGGTTCAGAAGTTCGTATGAACGTTGTATGTCTTACCCTTGCAAGATATTCACCCTCTCTTGTGGAAATGAAGGCAGAAGCTGGTGGTTTTGCAGAATTTTCTGGGCCGTCACGAAGATCTGTTTTGTTGCCTACCAATATACGTGGTATAAATGTTTCTCCACAGCTTTCCTGAAAGGGATTTCAAAAGCGTATACAATTGAAAAGATTACACCATATCAATGTTATAAAACTTTCCTTAATGAGGTAAGGGAGGTCTCTTCACAAAGTACGATTTTATACAATTTCTAAGAGCGTGTAGTCTAAAATGCGTCAGATATGAATAACACCAATTTTTTTAAGAAATAATGCGGTAACCATTGTAATTTTACCGACTAAGTTAAAAATACAAGGTGAAACTTGGGGCGTAAGTTCCTACTTGGCTTCAAAGTCAATTAATAGTTCCACCAACCAAGAGGATGAGAATTCACAGTATTACTGAAGTTCCGATCAATTTGTTTGGGTGAAACCCAAAACGTGCAAAGAATAGGCTTAGGCAATGGAGAAAACTTCTTTTCCATACGGTTGACACACCATCTTCAAATGACAAATTCCGGGTTTGGAGCCCAATCAAACCTTGAGATAAATCACATGTTCGCTCACTTCCAGCATGTTGACCCATTCTCTGACCCCGGTGAAGGAAGCTCGACTGGAAACGTCGTACATGAGTATAGCGCCATCGCATTTCCTGAAGTATTGTCTCGCCAAACTGTGGTATCTAACAAAATCATAACTTGGTTGATTTTTGAATTCCTAGCAAGCGAGTGAATCTTAGATGTCTCATTAATTACTTGGTTTGAAGAAGTTTAAGGCTTCAACTAAGACAGCATCCCTAATGCTTCGGATGCTAGATATCATCTATAAAAGGTAAGCAATAATTTTTTTAAAAAATGAGAGATTTGAGGGCTGTTTTTAGCGTCGAAAACAATGAACTTTCTACACGAAGTAAAAGTGATACCATAGGTGCATTATTCACGAACAAAATTTCCAACTGGTTGTGGAGCGATGCCTACATGAATAGAACCCCACCCTGTCTTGCAGAAAGCCCTTAAACGACTAATGTAAAAACATGGATTCACTCACTTACTAAAATAGCTTATTTTCAGTAAACTCACTTTTCCTGTCCAGCAGTATCCCAAATCTCGATCGTATACACGTTTCCGTCTATCGCCATATTCTTCGTCTTGAAGTCCACACCTAAATTTGATAATTAAATTCAACCTCCTTCCTAGACATCATTTTGCATGCAAAGCGATCTTGCCTCCAGACCAATGAGCTTCAACGTCCTGTTTGAACGAACAACACGACCAAAATTACCTCTTGGACTGAGACTGTTTCACCTAAGCACATGATCGTTTCTAGTGTCTGAATTGATATTCGGAAAGTGCAGACAGAAGTCATGAAACCATTGACTGTCACACTTAAAGTAAGCTTAAAGCTGAAAATTGCCTACTGTTACGTGGGCTGTCTGTGCTACCCGGGTTAGCTGCTGTGGTATTACTTGAACAGATGCCAGTAATACACAGTTGGAAGTCTCGACTTCGGCCACCGGAGTGTCGAGAGGCAATCAATCAGTTGCCGTTTATGCTGTTTACCGCGTTCGAGAATCAATAAAGAAATAATTGCTACCTGATTCATAGTCTATTTCTCACCTTAATTATAGACTTAAAAGTGAACCTTTCCTCCGCCTACGAACAGCGACATGGAAAACATTACCAACAAGCTAAGCAGTTGACACAACTGTAGGCGAATTATTAACGGGATACCACAACTACAGCTTAGTAACGAAAAGCAAGTAATCTAGACTAAAAAAACTTCTAAAAAGAGCCTACCAACTGTAGCACGGGCATTGTAGTAGAAGTCTCCAGTGCAGAAACGGTACATGAAGCAAGTTTTTCCCACAGACGATTCACCCACCATCACAACACGGAAGATACGATCTGGCGCTTGGAAGCCGTCAACATTTGACCAGTTCGTGACACTACCCATTTCCGGATCCATATTGGTAAAGGGTCTCTGCCAACAAAAATATATCGCAGGTTACCGATAAGTCATTTTAATTACTTTTGAGGTAGACCCAAAAAGCGGCCCATAAATATGGTCGCATTTGAAATACTAAACGCTAACTGAATGTTTATGATGGCTTCACCTAAGGGCTTCAAATAACGTCTCTGCGCAACGAAAAGTCTACACCAATTTACGTTCGCAGTCTTCGACTAAATGTTCAGTTGAGGGCCTCCACAGGTAACAAATATCATATATTCTTACAGCATTTGCACTTTACCCAAGAATGCGCTGAGTCATGAAAGCTGGATAAAACATTCTTTTGCTGATAGGCATAAAGTACTGCTGAAAAATTTCTAAAAAATAGTGCTTGATGATGCCCTTATCTAGTTTTGAAACAAACAATGTACTATAAATAAATAAAATTCATGTGGCGCACCGAAACCTAAGAATTACATGCCGGCTTGGAACCAATAAAATTATTTTATTGATGAAACCTCGATAAGTGCTGCTAGAGTCTTCTATGTAATGATGCCACCGCGCCAGACTAGCGTTAATCGTATCTCTGTTAGAAATGAAATTAAACCCTCCCACAAATCCCTTAAGGGGCATTCAAAACAATTCCAGTAAATGCATCATATGGCAATATTTTCTTAACCACGTCTTCGACGACAATTTCACTGTTACGACAATGAAGAACTGGGAGGCCATGATGGATGACTTACGTCGCTGTATTCATTCGAACCAGACCATTGACCACTGTCTAAATAATGTATAAGCTATCAATTGTAAGGCATGGTCGCTAAAGTTGACAATTTATTAGGCATAATTAACGCACCTCTTTGCCATGGTGGACCTTGGAGATCCTATCAGTGGTAAATAAGCAAATCAAAACCGACGAACACTAACATTTTTTACGATAAAATTTCATAAGGAAAACTTACCGGAGCCCTCTCCAAGAATTCACCTTGCAGATACAATGCATGTTTGCTCTGTACTTCGTGAAGAGCGTCCCTGCAATAAAAAACGATCACTTTAGCCTATGCTGTAGAAGTTGGGATTTTAGTGGCGAAGTCAAACATGGGTGTGTTCCATGCTCATGCTTAAAAGCTCGACAAATTAAAAGGAAAATTAAGGCATTTTTGTAAGCAAAACAATTGTTTTGTAAAATCACAGGTTTCTATAGGTCAGGCATATCTTTACCGAAAAAAATTCGGAAAATACAGATTGAATCATACCTGAGTTTTTGGATTTGGCCATAGAGGATATCTTTTTCTTCAATGTACGATGAAGACTTCATCTTTTCGCTGAAAAACATTTAATTTACTGCCTTATTTTTCTAATAAATTTGTGTATACCATTAACTAATATTGAGCATCGTATACTACAGCAGTAGGAGAATTACCGACTCGTGCCTCCCAACAATGTGAATTGAGGTGAGCTGTCATAACTCGATCACTACCTAGGTATCCCTCCTTTATTTAGGCCAGAAGCACCCGTGAACAGCAATTAACGACTTAATAAACCAGTGGGATCTGAAGCCTCACCAAATCACTCATCGCCGCGTAGCATAAATAAGAACCCGTGGTAATGCGTGATCAGAACGTGAAAAGAGACGTAATAATTAGGTCGATTCAAAATGACATATATTACAATAATGGCACCAATTTATCAAAAATTACCATGTGTTTTATTCACCGGCACATAGTTTTGCCGCTGAGTTACTTATATTTTTAGTTTTGATAATATTGTAGGCCGACCGACTATAATCCATATTACTTGAAACGAATTCTTCATAATCGTCCAAAATGCCAATTGTTCTACCAATACTACCTGCTTGACTCCTCTTTTTGATTTTTCGAGAATTTAAGGTTCCGCTTTTGTACTTCCAGTGAGAAATAGACTCTGAGCCGGAGCATTAGTTTCTTAATCTGTCTTAGCGTAGACAATACACATTCATTTTAGCGTCAGTCTTTTAAACTCCACGAAGGCGCTTTAACACTATATCGGTAATGAGAAAAAAGAGCTACAGTCCTGCTTATCAAAATTTAAACGCTCGTAAATTCTTCCCGTGTTTTGTAGATCAGAAAAGGTGGCCATCAGTGACCCAACAGTAAACAATAAATAACACAATAACCCAATAATTGTGAACACTATGAAACTCACTATTCATCGAAAGACGTACATATGCAATTGCGAAGACTGTGTTTCCACAGTGGCGCGCAGTTGAGTTAGTTCAGCTTCACTTTCCCTTAGCTGCTTTTGAGCCTCGACCAGTTTTTTGCGCAGGTCCTTAGCCTCACGTTGAAGCTCCGCCTCAATAAGGTTACTCTCCTCCACCGATTCCTGGGACTTCCCTTTCAAGACTTTCCTTCCACCGAAAACACTGTCATCTCCAGGAGTCATAGGGTTTAGAGAACGCAGTCCACTGATACTGGACTGCTTTCGGTGGTTAGTTTGAACTTGCTATGGGGAACAATACAAATTTTATAAAAAGGTGATCTGCCAGATTTCGAGAGTTTAAATCGTTGGAAAGCCAGTTACTAGGCCCCAATAAAGTTGTTTGGTGAATTAAAAAAGCCCAACCACTTACCATGGGAGACTACTTTAAGCGTTCAAATCAAGAGCATGGATTTTGGTCCATTTATGACTCGGCTTCGTTGCTGTTTTACTACGCAGGAGGCAGATAAAATGGATGCTTACCATTGCATCCATAATGGGATCGTTCATAAAGTACGCTATCATTTTGAAGATTTAGAGCTACTTATTACTTTTACACAGAGCGCAAATAATTCAAGAGTGAAACTCTCACTCAAAAGAAAAGCCATCAAGAACCAACCTCCTTTAATTCGTTGACAGTTTCTCGGAATCTTTGAGTCTCCAGCTCTTTTTGTCGCACCTTCTCCGCGTATGCAGCCTCGTACTTTTTGCTTAGCTGAGAATAAAATCGAATGGTAGAAAATGCAGCTGAATTAAAAGTTTCTCTTATAAAATAAATTAGCTTATGTTTTCTTATAACTTTGTCCTACCGCATGGTTATTTTAACTGTTATTGAGCTGGCAGAAACTTTAACCGATAATGTAGCTAAATATAATAGTTGTGGAAACTATTGATATTGCTGATAGCATCAAGCCATTTTCAGATTGATGTCAAAAGACAAGGATTCCACTTCAAAATTCAATGGGACAATTCAATCCAATATTCTTCACAAGCACAACTTACATCGAAACGACAGAATTAACTGAATTTTGAGTCAAATATTATCAACTACGCCTGTTTTCTACTTTTAATGGAGAAAAGATTGGAACGGCTTACTTCTTCCCGTAGTCTCGCCTCGATCGTTTGGATTTGGGAGTCAAGTTCAGCTTCCAATCTCCGTAAATCATCCTTCCTAGCCTGTTTTTCCCTAGTGCAAAAAATAACTGGTTAACAACACTTAAGAGAAGAAGCTATTCTATTTCAGCCCCTACAAAACAGTTTCCCGTCATTTTGTCTCAGAAACAACGGTTCAGAGACATTAAGCAAAGCGGAGAGTTCGTTAAAGGCCCTGAGTACTGGTCGAATATTTGAGGCAAAATATGCCTAACGGTTCCATTAACTAACCTTTGGTAGCTTTGTTCCAAATCCGCATTTTCAGACTTCTTGGCCATTATATCGTTCTTGAAGGACTCAAGCAGATGATTGAAGGAAGCCGCCAATTCGGGATAGGAGTCACTGATAGTCTTGCTCAGTCTAGTAGCCTCTACTACACTAAGAAAAAGAAGTAGAATGAATGCAGAATTACATAAGGCACTGGGCAGTCCAGAATCAATATCGAGAATTTGTTATTGCTTGGAAATCATAAAGTTGACCACAAACGCTGGATCAACCCACTAAAACCTCGTTCTTAAGAGCATCTCAAAACTCACTAAAGGAATCAGCACTTTACTGCACTTGGTCATTGCTTTCGAAATCTACCCGTGGCACATCACTTATCAAGAACGGACCAGCTTTGCGCAGTCCAAACTTTGTAGTGCAACTAGAAATTTTTCCGAGAATAATGTCATATAGAAATGGCCCAGTGCAGCATCGGATATTATGCCTCCTTCCAAGCGACCCTTTGCCACCTGACCATGCTAACACTCTTCTCATCAGTGCCGCCAATCCCACATCTACAAAATTGCGATGCATTGAAACTGCAGCAATTGCACAAAAAATCAGAACTAGCGCACTAGATAGTTGGTGTGTGTTCAAATGTGTAAATGCAATCGATTTTTATTTCTTTTTACTGCTTACGAAAGCGCCTTTTTACTAACTTGTCTCAGCGCAATTCAAGAGAGAGTAAACATATTGCACTTAGCTGCCACTAATCATCTTATTTGTCATCTATAAGATTATAATTATCACTCATCCATGCAGTATGGACTATATAAAGTCAAATAAAAACCCAGGTTGGCATAACTTCTGCGTTCCCACACTAAGATCAACGCATCATCCCATTTCTCAAGCATTTGCGGAATATAAGCACTGCGTCATCTGACGCAACGCGAAACCGTCTGCGAAATTTCGCTTCAAGCCATCCCCATCTCATTCTCCATTATGAGTCATTCTACAGTACGATCTTGGGCCTGATTTGACGCTTGTTTCGTGTGCGTTTATGTGCTACCGTAGGTGAACTGTGTGAGTGACGCCTAGTGATACCGAGAAATTAATAGCTAATTTTTCAGATCTTAGCGCACAGTCAAAGTTCCAAATTTTTCCTTTGTATTATCTTGTGTGAAGAAATTATAGGTTTTAAAACTTTCAAGGTAGCAGTGAACCCTCCGTGAGTACATTTACAGTACTTCTAGTCGGAAAAGTAATGCGGAGCTATAAGTATCAGCTATCCATTGCATTTATAATATCTTACCTTTTTCCAAACTCTTTGTCCGTATCTGTGGGAGATGACGTGTAAAAACTACCAAGGCGGTTTTCAACACGCAGAGGTGGCCTCCTCGTTCTGGGTTCGGCAAATCGGCCCAAATCAACTGGTCTACCGGATCCTTCCTCCCATGCATCGTCAATGCCCGAACTAGTGGCTTTCTGCCATTCACTGAGACTCTTCAATAGTTCATCTATGGTGACGAGACCATCCTTGTCTGTATCCAGTCGATCAAAGAGATCGGCGGCACTCTCTTGCGGTAGGTTGATAGTCGCGCTGGTGCAAAGATGAAGCCACCGATCACGATCGAAACTGCCCGAGTCATTTGTGTCGTAGCTGCGTAGGAAATCTCGCAACTCTTGCCTTGTCTGTGCCGCCATGAAGCTTTTGCTCTATGTGTCTCAGCGGGGTGCGGGACCTTAAATCAGAAAGGCGCATTGCTCTCATGCACAGGCACGCATTCAGCTAGGGAATGATTGGCTGTAGCCACAATGTGTCTCACCCATTCATGCACTCACCAACTCTGTATGTGCGTGCAAATGAGTGAATCAAACGCGTTGTTGTTAATGCAACTGTCAAAAAACTTTTCGAAAACCGAATTTGCGTCTTCCTTTAGATGATATATTTTAAAAGGCAGGTGATAGGCTTTTCATCTCTTCCCTCGGGGTTCGAATTTATGTTATATAAAGTAATCAAATCTCGAGAAATGGTCTTCGCATAGGTCCTGCATTTTTGTTTTTTAAGTTTGCCCGACTCCCTCCATAGAGGACCAAGTCTGGTGAGTTCTAGTGCTTTACGGCAGCGTCCTTTTAGCAAGGACACTTGTTCACATGAAAAATGATCACAAGATAGGTAAAAAAAGCGCTACAAACATCATACATTTGTTAAAAAATCGGATGGTCGCTTTAATGTGTGCCTCTTTTTCCTTATAAGCGCATTTGATTGGTTAAAATATAAGCCGATGCAGTGCTTGATAAGAAACACTAGTAATCAAAGTATTCTGTGACGTGGACATGCGAGAAACACGGTTCTGAAGTGATGCGATCAGTCACTGCCGTCTGGAGTCTTTGATCAATCACTCCTCAATCGAACTTATAGTTTTTACTCTCCTCTCCTTTTCGCAAAAAGTATAATGGACGTGTTTTTGTCTCTTGAGTACCCTTAGAATGGCTGCGATTTGAATGTTTCAAAATGCGTGGACCTTCTGTTGTGCCTTTTTAATCACCAGCTCACAGTGCAAGAGTGGTAGCAGGAGTGTTGTAGAAGGGTTTATAAAAGAGGACTGAACTCACCCCTGATGGCCTTTTGATGTGTGAACTGGTGCAAATCTAAGTATAAACATGTCAAAAGGCCATCTCTACCTAACCACATGCAATGTGGGGGGCGACAATGCGTGCTAAAAGTTGATCGTCAAGACCAAAGATGGGATTTCTTTTACCGAAATATTTGACTATATGTCAAGAGAGTATTGAGGAATTCCATATCACTGTTTCCTTGCACATTCATGTTCCTCTGCTTCTTCTGTGCCTCCACGATGGCCAAAATGCCTTCACTTTTTGGGATCATTAGTATTCTAGTTAAAACGCGATAGCCTACCAATTTCCGCCACGAAAAGTTCCCACCGTATGATCACCAAATGAAATGGTTGACGTCACGAAATCAACTGGATCACGGGCCTAAATAGGTTCCTATGACATGAATGACTCAAGCAGTTTTACGGACTCATATGTGCTAGCAAGAATCTTTGCAATTTAAGATGAAACCACTCTTAAGTGAATAACATGGACTTCGCAATTTATGAGACTGCTCCTGTCCCTCATTTAGACAACTGTGGTAGCTGATGGTAACCGGCGTACTGTTTACGAACTCAGTAGTTTTAAATGCGCAAACAAATGCTGATTCCTTAATCAAATAGTCTGTACCACCCTAAGCAGTGCTCCTGTCAAAATTCCTCCCAGACGAGACAATAGGTTTGACGGAAACCCATGAGGCTACGTGAAAAAATGCCAAAATAACCGCAAAATATAGTCACGGAAATAAGCTCACAACTGGACCGTACCTCCTACAATCAGCGTTTTCAAGGCGACTTCATATGCATTTAGGTTTGGCGTCAGATAGTGCCGAAAGTCTATAAGATTCTCAAATCCAATCACTAATCGGTAAATCAAGGTATGAATAACGAGAATAAGTAGAAGCAGCGTTTATTGCCTAGGCGTCGAACATCAAGATACTTCCGCCATCAGAAGAAAGAGGGTAGAACTATCCACAACAAATGGGGATTTAAATGCTTAACCCCATGAAGCAGTAAACATTTCAAGTCAGATTAACAGAAAACGATGCCGTGTTCAACTGACCAAATAATGCAAAATGAAAACTAAATTCTTGAGGGTCCGGTATTGACAAAGACCAGCCAACCAATGAAAAAGTAGAAGAGGCAGAGAGGATAAACGACAAGCGCAACCCGCGTTGGTTTCGAACTGGGTGCCAGGAAGGTAGCTGCCGAGAAGAGGGAGTATGACAAACCGGTAAAGACGATTGCGAGTCGAATTAGCAGAATCCAGGTGCCGGCTGAGGTGAGGAGCTTGATAACCACATTGATTACCAGACATGTTACCAGAGGAAGGATGCAGTAGCCCAGAACACAGACAGTTTGACAGATGGATCTGTAAAAAGTGAGGGAGATAACAAGAAAGGCTACAAACACAAAGGAGCCACAAGAGAAATGAGGAAAAACGAAAACACTTACAGATTTCCCCCAAGCAACTTTGTGTTGAGAGATACGGCTATAACACCAAACCAAAAGACAGTAAAAACTTGTGCGAACTGGGGAGCACCAGCGTCCTCTTTCTGACCATGGCTAAGCTGAAGTACTCTAAAGAACCAAAACCGACTTCAAGGGACAAAGAATATTACCAAGGAAGCTGCACTGTAAACAAATCTTAAGACGTTTGTAACTGCAATATAGCAAAAAGGTTGGGAGGCGGGAGATAAAAAAGTGGTATCTCAAAACAATTACAAAAAATGGTATTCCTAGCACTTCCAAGTAACAAGGCAAGGAAAAATCACGTCACCAAAGGCAACCTATGGCAAGTAAACAATATATCATGCGGGAAACTATCAAAACTGCTAAGTTACTTTCGCTAAAACTACGTAGAAAGAAATGTCCGAAAAACTTAGCGTATGAGCCAGCACCACGACTTACAATCCCGCAATACTTTCATGCTCATAAACGACTCAAAATACACAAGAATTACTTCCAGATGGAATAAACTCACTCACAGAGCAAGAACAATGAAGATGAAGAACGGACCCCACAAGTCCCCTAAAAAATGAAATCATCGTGAACACATTTAAACCTACAATCATTCAGAAGTTCGTGACCACGTCGAGGAAATATAACATGTGTAACCTTCCGGCAAACAGATCGAACGTCCCTCACCTGCGAAGCTTATTTACTTAAAATATAATTACAATAGTTTCCTTAATAGACTCGTCGATGGTCCCCTTGTTAGCCGTTTTTGATGGATGGATTTGGATATCGCCTTCTAAGCTAACGGTTTCTGATGCCTTCAGATAAGTAAATTGAATAAATTTACCGGATCTGGGCCATGGAAGACCACATCATCGTCTGTAAAGCTTACGTTGGTATACGCCATTCAAGTATGCACACAAAGTCCACACTTTTTCAACCTTGAGTTTCACTACTGAAAAGGCCACGTAATTGCGTGAGCATGCATTGTGTAAAGTGGTCTTTTCCATTAATGTGTCCTGGTTTAGACTAAAATTGCAACACTTTGTTATGTTATGTGTCAGAACCCTGATCCTTCTTCTTCCGGCAAACTACATATATTCTGCCCAATGTGATGCCTTATTTCACCTGAGGAAGTGTTAGGACGTTACAAAAATGCTTGAAACCTTTTTCATGACAAAAAGAAGCTAGTTTGTCATAAGTCTATTGCTTATACATCGACTTTACTCCATTCCCGATTTATCGAGCCCTCCAGACATCGATGATAAAGTCAATGTACCGATACTTCCTGAAGTATTCTTGTAAAAAATTAAGACATTTTCCTACGACCGATTATGGCTTCCATGAGCGAGGACGATAGTGCTATTGTCATAGCCTTTAGACCAGTGCTCCCAGTGCATGTGCGATGATCTACCATTTAGCTCTCCACAAAGTCCTATTGTGGGACAAACAGCAGTTTATGTAGTACATAGACCTCCTGTTTGCTAAAAAAAAATGATGACTATCTACATTTTCCGCACATACATATCCGAATAAATACGACTTCAAGGAGTACACAAGCATCGCGAACGGACTCTCCGAACTAAACAGCGTTTAAGTCTGCGGTCACATCAGGAGCGACTTCTATGCTTCAGCACGACCTTCGCCGCCCACAACAGCTACTTAGCTCAGATGACAAAACTGGCACCTTGCTTGCAGTGTTGCAGAGTCATGGCAGGAAGCCCCATTACCTTTTATGAAATGGCTAATCCACTAAACCTTAGTCCTTCTGATATGGTTCGGTACTGAACTATACCTGAATTCCGATGTAAACCACCCACTGTAATACTTCGTCTATGTGACCACCTGATGTCTGGCCGGTACAGTTTGACAGTCGTCTTGTCCTCGTACATCAAGCCAGCGTCCTATCCCTTCTTTTGCCCCTAGAATGCATGCATTCAGCCCAACTTAATGCCTTCCTCCACCTAACGGGAAGTCTTGGGACGGTACATTCACTTGATACAAGAATGCCTCTTATTTGCTCATGATGTATAGCAAAATGAAATTTTAAGAAGAACAATCTTATTCATCAAAAGGACGCAAGACTCGAATCTCCTTTACCAGATCACGAGCGGTATCTTGTTTCCGAAAAACACCAGTTAGTGTACGGGCATCCAGCTCGGCCATAGCTGCTTCTAGTTGTTCGAGTACTTCTTCATCCCGCTCGATGACCAGTCGGTCTCGCAGCAAACGGTGCACGTCACGGATCAGATCGTCCGGTAAATAGGCCGGCAGACCCGACGGGTGAGACATCAATTTGGGGGTGAGAAAGAGGCTGCGTGCAAGGTAAGCAGCCGACTTACGCACGATAGGCGCGTTATCATGCTTCAAAGTCTTTTCGATCACCTCGTACACCTAAAGGAAGAAAAATAAGGGACACGAATTCCAGGCTTTGCAGTATAACAGAAAGTGCTCAGATTGAAGGACATGCCAATAATAGCGAATCGGTCAAGGTGGCATTGATGAAACTTGTGAGGTGTACGATCAAAACCGTTCTCCGACAGAGCGGAACCTTTTCCAATAAATAAGGTAGTGTTGTTGGCTTCAACTAATTGGCTATGAAGTCTGAGAAAGGAGGGGGATGTGGAAAAGTGATTAGGACTGTGTGGCTGTGTAAGTGGTCAACTGCCTTTAACCACATGTTATTTTACGAAAGTTGAAACGTGGTTGTAAAAGGAAAATATAGACTCGCGTACATGTACACCACTTTGTAATGTCTTGGTTATTTCTGAAGATGTTACAAGACACAGGGATATGAGCATAACCATATTGCAAATGTGAAAATGATCTCCTAAGCCACCACCAAAGTGACATTAACGCAATGCCATATCTCCAGAGTGGTGATAGAATTCTGTGGATATTTAAACCATCGAAATGGTTTTCACTTAACGTAGAGTCCTGCCCTTGCCGTCCACGCTAACGCCTTTGCAGCTCGTCTAAACACAGATATTAAAGGCTTTATTCCATGTTGTTATGCCTTATAACTCCTGAAAGGCCAACTTATACGCTGGAAAAAGCCTAAAATGTAAAATTCTCATAAATTTATCTCAAACGATGAATTTTGACAAGGCGCAAACCTGTTTCAACCAGCAAACAGCCAAGATGCAGCAATCTATTGATTCAATAGTGGATCTTTGATGTTCTAAGAGGGTAGAATACAGGAAAAAATTATTTCTATTCAAGGCTAACTCGATTAAAAGTGCGGACAATTGGAACTTTTGTATGCATCAACTCGATCATTTTGAATGTTGGGGGATTCCTTCTTTATCATAATAGGTTTCAAATTAGGGTTCTTGACATTCCCAATACTTAAAATGGTTGAAATAAGTTCCAGAAACCTGTGTATAGCTGCCTCCGCAAAGATAGCTGTAATGAAAGTTGGTAGTCGAGGGGTTGGCGAAAAGTGATAGTAGCAAGCAAAAACATCAATAACGACCCCGTTTTCTGGGGAAACCAGTGAATCAAATGACAAGCGCCAGGACAAGCGGACACATTCCAGCAAGTTCATTCGGGATGACATTGGCACAGACGAGTATAAAAGAAACACAAGCCTCAGAGCAACAGAGAATTCTTCACCTTCACAGACAGCCCATTGGCAGCAAGATCGAGGTGAGACTTGGTAGTTCAGGTTCCACATAGGTACAGGAAAGAAACTGCCGTGTTTTATCTATATGAGCAATGGTGGCAGTTTAGTGCAGCACAGTCACGTGCAGGATACCACGTGCCACAACCGTAAACTCTTCCTCCAACGCTTGCGATCGGCGCAATGTTGCAATGTAGATAGTCCATGACTCAGAACCAGTTAAACCGTCATTTTGTTTACTATCTGATGCCAATTAACGCAAAAAAAGTGGGTAAACAATAGGAGGTGATTTAAAAGGGGCTTCGACGAAAAAGGGATCGAGGCGTACACTAGACAAGAGACATCAACCATACTAAGGGATTTAAACAGTACCTTCATAGCTTATCATTGGTTACAGTGCAGGCTGTAGTTATTAGAAATAGCAAGTGAGATGGTTAGTAGAATTATCGGCTGGCTCTAGTCCACTACCTCCAAAGTGTGATATTGCAACGCAACAAGTACACATCGGTAGACCGAACAAGAAAGTTCGCTGTCACTGGTTGTCAGTCGCCTAATCATGTGAAAGTGACATTATTTAAGCATATTTCGTTTCACTACTAGAATTTTAGCTATAATGGCCAGGAATGTAGGAGCTAAACGCACTGCAAACCTTAAGATCTAATCAGCAGAATCCCGGGATTTGGCAAGAAATACCACATATTGTGCTTCACCTTTTCAGTTCATTCAAAGCCAAATAATGAATAAACTTCAGATAAAAACCTTAGCCTACGCTTCAGGCCTTCAAGACACATTCCTCATAGCTACTTCAAAAGCAACTCGAACACCAATAAATGGGAATTGAGATTTTCGAACCTCGTAGATAACGGATTGAATCGAGTTGCCAAGGAGGCGACAGATTTCAGCCAAATTTGAGAGGCCTGCAGCACGAATAAATTCGGACGGATCTCTCGCAGAGATGAGTAGATTGGAAACGGTGGCGTCACGATACTTGGGTGCAATATCACCTGTGAGAAGAAAAAGAGGAAACGTTAGATGAGACAATAAAAGTAGTCTTTTATTTAGTCAGACTCATCACAAATTGGTCAGTCCAACGACTCATAATTTCTCATAAGCTCAGAAAAGCTGGAAATCAGTGGTAGTAGTGCGATATAGGGAGAAAGCCAAAAAGAACTGGCATAGTAACATCCATCAAAAGTTCCCTTCATCATAAGAATTAACCTTCAAGAATGACAAGCAGGAGTGACCACATGGTTTGATTCATCCTCCCCAAAAAGGAGCTCATGCTACAGAATAATCATTCCGTGTGCACAGATTGCTTAGAAACGCAACTCGGAACGATTACTTCCTAACAAAAACGTTGACGAAATAATCTAAGTGACGATAATTCACATTTAGCACTTCGCACGGAGACGTGTAGGAACATTTGTGCAGGCTACGGTAACCAATTTTCGTATTCTATGAATGTTAATCTCTAGGAGAGGGAACTACATCGCAGGAATAGACATTTTGTGCGAGATCCAGATTGCGAAATTCAAAACCAAGGTGGCGGAAGTAATAGCTCTGGAATTTTGGATAAGCTAAATAAAAGGATTCCTCCGACATTTAAGCATCTAGGAGTAGTGCTAATTTGAGTACTTGAAGTTGCCAACCAAGTGATTAAAGAAAACAGTAGAGTTTACAGAAGAGGATGGATGGTTACCCACCTAGTTCACGGAGAATCCGAACGATGGCCTCACCCACCTTAAGGCGAAACTCAAGACTGTAAGAGGTAGAAAGAAAGCGAGAAAGGAGGAGAGGAAGAAGGCGGTCAGTGAGGGCGTTGCCCATAGCCGAGAGCGCTCGAATAGCATTCAGATAGACATAACTATCTTCATCGTCCAAATGCTTCACCACCATCTGTAAAAGTAACGAATGAAATCTGGGCTAAGGCAAAAACGGACCTTAAAAACAGATAGCCCAAGAACTGGTGTTAAAACTTTAGATCACAAAATCGTGCGACTGTTACTGAAATCAAGAGCCAATGCGGCCTTATGCACGAATCACCTTTCACCTGTTCCAGCGGGCAACCTTTTAAGTAAATTTGCTTAAAAGTCTGCAATCGCATGCTAATGCTAACATATCAGTCTCATCAGTTGTGCAACTGAAGGATGTAAATCTTGAATTAATTTAATACTCAATGTATCATTCGGAACACACTTCTCTCAGCAATCATGTATATAAGTATTTAAGGGTGCAACCAAATTCTTCATAACTTCAGAACTTTGCCTTTACCCCGTGACCTCACATGCATCCTCAGAACTGAAGTTTTCTGCATCCAAAAGACGAGGCGATGCTACTTATTACTTCAATGCAGTCATGAGGATAAACCTAGTGTTTGCCATACCTCAAAGATGTTGTCTTCAGAGCCTTTTAATGAGGGATCTCTGGCTTCCAAAAGTCGACTCAATTCTATCAGAGCATGACCTCGGACAGGAATGAAAGGATCCTTTAGCTGTTCAAAGATTTCCAACAGCTTCGGGCTCACTTCGGTAGTCGCCTTTGGCACAGTTTCAGTGTCAGTGGGGCAGGCGGACAGTGGTATCGAAGGCAACTCCTCGATTAGACGTCTCCCGCGATTCAATTCAGTCTTTGAAAGGAATGAACTGAAAAAGCAGGATTTACCTAAACTTTGAAATCAATGGAAAATCAGTATGACTTTTACGTGTAAGTGTCTCAATGTAAACGGCTCTCAGCAAGCCAGGACCAATCCAGCAGCACTTATGAATAGACCGATCCGGATCAATAGTGTTTTACTTATATATATTCAACTAACTATCAGAGAAGGACGACGTACCAATCGGAGTTAGGCGCAGTGGGTGACGAAGAAACGAGAATCGCACCTCGAGTCAAGAGTGAGATGCGAATTTGCTCAGCAAGTTCTACAGAGGGATTGCCTTGAGGAAATGTCTCCTCGACTTGGTGCAACAGTGGGATCAACTCGGCGAACCGGTCCCGTACCTCACTTGTCACCTTTTCACCCATCTGAAAGCAAAACAGCGATAAAAAGGCGTATTTTGATTGTACGCATTGCATGGACAGCGGAACCCACCGCATCACAACCTTAACTTTAGCTATGCGTGACTCCATTAGCTCAACCGACGCCACGATGAGCAAGATACTATACTATACTTACTATATTTAGCATTGACGCTACGAAAGTCCTATAGTGAGATTAATGAGAGGGGAAAAGATCACGATTGCATAGAGAGCGGTTATGTGTAAACATGGCTACAACAAAAGTGACGCAGCAATACTCACATCCATGTGCTGGACAAAGAAGGCAGTGATGCCAAGAACCAGGTTGAGCGACTCCTCTTCCATCTTCATCACCTCTTTGTCCGCAGGCGAGTTTAACACCAGGCAGAGACGCGTCAATGTTAGCTGAGACGCCAAAGTACAAATGGAAGTGGAAAAATTGAGCTTCTTACCTAAATCAATGGGGTTTTGCAACGATAGATATGAATTACTTAAACAATGTTGGAAGTCAAGGGCCGGTTTCCCCCAAGAATGTAACGACAATGACAGTGAGAAGGGTTTAAAATGCCGATTCCACCAATAACTTACGCAGAGAAGCTTTACGGCAAAAGCAGGATCGGAGGGCCAAAGACTGGTAGGACTGAGTTTTTCTAGCATTGCGCTGGCCATCAGGCATGCAGTGAGTGGTACTCCTACAGCCGCCGCTTCATCTTTCTCCTCCAACATTGGCTCCAACGCTGTGCCTGGCCATAAGCGGACGCAGACACCTGACTGCTTGCTTGCGTCTTTAATCAGTTCAGAATTGATGTCCTGTAGATGAAAAAAAGTGGAAAATACAAGATGATTTTGCTTAAAATAACCTAAATTGTTGAATGGACGAAAGTTTAAGATACATTTCTAGAGAACCTACTGTTGTGTTTTAAGTAACACCTTGGGGACAAATGTATGTTAGGTAATGTAAAGCAGTCCTGATCCAAAAAAAGGGATACTCACTGAAATGAGGCTGAGGAGGAGGTGTGCAGCAAGACCTGACTGAGTTTGACCCTCAGTTTCATTGTTCCTTTTGTCGCTAGTGGACCAGGCAGGGAGCAGCAACTCAGTCGAAGCCTCTTCCCTGTCGACATAGCCATCATACCCTTTAGCATGAATAATAGATGAAAGCAGTAGCATAGCTGCGGCAACACGAGCGGAAATCATCTCATAAGAGCGATCCGTCACCGCCTCCACCGAACGACACACGCGGAAGGGCGCGCCTGAAGTGTCAGACTCTCTGGTGTCAGAAGAGACAAGAGAGGTGGGTCGCAAGACAATGGCGCGCCGAAGAGGCGAAAGAGGGGGGGAGGAGGTGGATGAAAAAAATAATGGTTTCAGAGTAGTCTCATCAAGTGAAGGAAGGCCTAGCCAGGCGCGAAGGAGAGAAAACGGGGAGAAATGGCCGGTGTTGAGTAGGCTCGCAAGGATTGAACAGAGCTGGGATCTATTGAACGACACAAAAATAAAATTCTTTACCAGTAATTTACTAGGAATGTGGCTTGCATGTATTTACAAGTAAGTGGATTAGATTTCGGTTAAGGGTTACGTAGCGCGAACATCAGTAATCGAATAAAATATAAAAGGATTCTAAAGTGGCATTCGTCTATTACAGGTTGCATATCATAATCAGAATGACTTGGATTCAACTCAGTAAGCCAAGAAAAACTGCTTTTCAGTCGTGAACAAATGTGTTTTAGTTGCTACCACATCTGAGTCATATAACAATACAGAACAATTGCCTGCATTAGAGGAATAACACCAACGCCTAAATATCTGGTGGTAAAGGTGTCATACCAGATAAAAAGGGTTCCACCCTAACTGAAGCGACAGCTACAACCGGTTCAACACACGAAAGCAGGAACTGACTTTCAAAGTCATAGCATTCATGAGAGCAATCAAAATAAAAACTGTCAAACCAAGGGTTACCTTAAAAAGATTTATTGGGGTAAAAGTTTATGCATGTCTATACTCAGCTTTCAAAAGGAACGATAACTAAAGCCCGTAACTTCATGTCTAGGCCTCAAAACTAAATGTTGGAAAGTTTATATAAGATGGGCTATTTACTTATGAAAGTTAGGGATTCAAACGCACTTGAATTCAATAACTGGTGATGGTTTACAACCTTCTGGAATCGGACAATCGCTACCCTCCTTTTCAGAAAGCACCAGATTGAGGAGAGAAAGGAAGTGGAACCAGGGCAGCGAGTAGCGCATCAGAACCAAGCACAGAGCCTTTGATGGGTGCTGTGTATCCAGAAGCTAAAATACAATAATTCCCAAATCAAATCGGTTAGGAGTAAATTTAAGTCCACCTATTTAAATCTGTTACCTCGATAGTAAAATTGATAACACCCCGCAAGTCCACCGCAGAGAGCAATTCCGCCGAATCCGACATATCAATCATTTTAGATGATGGTTCGTTTGATGCACAGTCTTCAACTTCTGGATGATTCAGTGAGATAAGTTTGTCTAGCTTGGACAAAAGCGGTTTCTCCAGAAAGAGCCGTCTTCCCAAATCTATATCCCGTTCGCATATTTGGTGGATGGTGTCAACAGCGACAAGTCGGATAACACGAGGAAGCAAGTCTTCACAGTTCCTGTTGATCTGAAGAGCGTTGTGAATCTGTAGGGCCAGACTACCATAGTACTGCTCACCATTATTATTTTGTCCGGTCATCTGAGGCGGCGTAGCCAAAATATGACCCAGAGCAGAGGCTAAAGCGGGAACGTGCCGAGGGTCGGTGGAGTGAACGTCCAAAACACCAATGATAAGGTCTTCCAGAGGCGATTTCCCCGCCGTGAAATAACGAGGACGAGCGATAAAAAGTTGGGTAATCAAACGACCACATGCACTGCGCAGCCACAGTGGCACTGGAGTCTTCATTGATGACTAGAATCGTAGAAGTTATTTTCGGCAAAAGGTTTTACAAACCTTTTGTTTGCAAAAGCCATTCTGGAAGAGAAAGAGTTCTTTGAAGGCCAGCGATCGGGGTAGACGAGCAAGAACGGAACGAAGCCGAGTGCGAGAGATACGGATGATGTCTGCCGTGGTGCTTTTGGTCGAGAAATCTGTTGAAACAGGTCCATAACTGAGTTGCAGCAGAAGGGCAAGGTAGTCGCCAAGGTAGCCATTAGGCGAGACTAGGTCACGAAGCGAATCAATGGAAGAACGACTAAGAGAGTCAAAGCACTCCGCAATCTATCAAAAAAAAAGGATTATCGCCCACAGTATTTTCCCACCAATGGGTTACTTCACTTCGATATTTTACTGCATCAAATAAGGTTAAGCTGCATCAGAGGCGGTAAATAGGATGTTTTAAAAAAATGAAAACGAATAACAATGTCTTTTATCTTACCCCATCAACATTAAGAACAAACCTTAAATAATCTTTGATGCCTATCAGGAGAAGACTGAAGGTTGGGGCACTTAAATTTTTCATAGTTTTCCAACCTGAGACACAAGGGTATCGAGACTCCGGAAGAAAGAAGAGGATATATTCCAAGACACACGATGAATTCGAGGCATTTCGACAACTGCTGCGTCTGAAAGATACTAAACACCGGCTTCCCATCTCCAGCTCCCACATCGATTTTTGTCAGTTCATCAAGAAGATGTAGACAACAGTAGACATACGCCTGATAAGATTCCATGTTTTGAAGAGTTTGTACTAGTTCAGAGTTATCTTCGAGGTTTTTGAGGTAGCGTTCAATGCAGGCACGGAAACAAAGGGACGGATCTGCGCCATCAGAATAAACGTTAGGAAGTAAGTCACGTAAGCAATCTGTCCACTTTTTCAGTTCAACCATCTGTAAAGTAAAATTTAGGGGTCCGTTAAGCACAAGCTTAATAAGGCAACCAGAATGTAGGCGCTTTGGACGCAAGACATAGAATAATGCAAGACATGGCAAACGCTTGCGCAGTGGAGTAAAGTGACAATTCAAGGCCGAAAACCGCACCCAATCATACAACCTTACAAAACTGCCCACAAAATGTTGCACAAGCAGGAAGAAAGCGCGATTATATCAGAGAGCTTAAGCATGAATTTAGCAGGTAAATTTAATCCCATTTTGGTTGCACTGCTTCTTTAATTACTGTAGACCATTATACTATTCGTTATACGCATGGCCCCAGCAAAGATTATACGCAGTTTTATTATTATATATTCTACCTTGAGGAAAAGGGGATTAATCCTAAGATTGGCCCAAAGACCATTCCACGTGTGCAAGGGAATTGGGGCCGGAAATGGGGCCACGTAAATCTGCTGATCTTCAACTGCTTTCAGAACTAGACAGCGCAAATGTGGTCCCGCATATAAGGCGAACCGTGACGCCGTTCCCGACGCCTATATAGTAGAGGATACTCCAAAGCAAACTTTTTCAGATGGTTCAGAGCAGTGTCGCTTTGGGTGTTGATAGCTTGTCTTTTAAAGGCGAGGACATTGTGAAACCAAACGCAGACATTATTCACAATCAATTTGTTGTGAAGGTTTTGGCGATAATGATGCCACCAGTATTAATGTGAATCCCCACACCGTATGTACATGCAACAAAGGGTGCACAATGCGATAGAAGTCATTAAAGTATTTCGGGTACTATCCCCGCTATCATCATTGTAGCGCCTCGAGACATCCAAAAGGATAGAGAAGGCAGCAAGTGGTGCTGAAAACACATTATAGGAAGATCAAAGACGCTAAGCCTGAATTTTTCGAAGGCTAGCTCACGCGAACAAGGGCAAGACGAATACCAAAGTAACTTCAAGACATGATGGTCACATACAAAGTATCATAGAAGCAATCAAGCAAGAAGAGGTAAGTACAAGGTTATAATTAACCACAATTAACTAGGAAGGCGGTGTAAAGGCAAAGAATACTTTGTTTATGTGGCAACGTGATGTCTGGTGGTCGCTTTGTAATTCGTCTGGTCTTTGTACGCATGTTCTGGACTTCGCTCCAAGCTCAGACTTAATATCTTTCTTGTTGTAGCCACCCGTTGGGTGGAAGGCAGCCAGTGAAACCGGGCACATTTACTCCAAGAAGAACAAAGCAACTAGGCCCGGGGCATGGCCCGTAGCCTAGTCCACGGGTACAAAAGGAATATGTTTTTATATGGCTACATGACGTTCGGGGATCACTTTAGGATTCGTCTGGCCCTTGTACTCCTGAGCTGGCTTTAAGGCCATGCTCAGGCCATTTGCTCTATTTTCTTCAGAATACACGTAACCAGCTTCACTTACTGCCTTCTTCCACCCTATGGCAAGACTCGAGACGCTATCCCTGGAATATATGCAGCTCAACTTAATGTATCCTTTTACCTGGTTGGGATTTTAAGGAACGCTACATCTTTTTTATCTAAAACAATACATTCTCTAACCTATAAGTAAGCCTGCAAACGCTGATATGGCCAGATTAGAACAGTCCATATTGACAAGGTAATATGACATCTAAAGTAACTAGCAAAAATCAGCTGTTAATAGAGGCTTCACCTGTCCTCATAGAAGTTAGAGACGTAAACATTTTTTCCAGGGCAAAATACTAGCTAATTATACATTTGTTTTGAGTACCTGAAATATTTGTAAAATCACATGGTTATAGTGGTGTGTTACTCATAATCATTTATAATGTCAATGCTGGTCTGGTGTTCTAGCGGTCTCGATGCTCACGCTAATACCTTCAAAAAATTGCATGAAAATTTCATCGGTTGTAAACAGGGTACATCACCGCAAAAGTCACGATAGTTTAGCTAGTTCAGTAGCACTTCTCCACTTATCGACTTCAAGGTTTTTCAAGTGCTCCTTGCTTAAATGCCTGCTCGGTGTGCGCATAGATAGCGTATTTGGTTCAAATTTTTTTCTTACTCGAGGCACATGCACATGTGGCGTAAAAGTGGAACCATTAATCCGTTGTGCCACAATGATCTGCAGTTTTCCGATAGGTGGGTTAATTGCCTTGATTTAATGCACAATTTCGTGTAGCCCCTGCGATAAGGACACTACTGAGGCATCATCGCCTGTAGATAATTTGCCAGCTATACAAGCTGTTAACGCTAAAAAGAGTTTTGAGGAGAAAATGTTTGAACGATCTCTTTTCTCCTGTAAGTTAACACCCTTCGGGCTCCAGTCCGACACACCCGCATGCAAACGCCAGGCTATTGAGTCTTCTGTGCACCATCGCACCGCCGCTTCTTTCGTCTACAAAACCCGTGCACCTCGACGTGGTACCTGTTTGATCATCTCTGTGGATGCATTTAAGGTGGCCCTTCGTCTTCCCAATCGACCGGGTGCTGGTGTGGACTTACGAAAACTGGAGGATACCTTCCATTTTCTGGATTTTGACGTAAAAACATATCAGAATCCATCTGCTGCCCAAATCCTCTCTATCGTAGAAGCAGGTGCGTTATTATCGAATTTTAGCATTTAACTAGTTTTTGCTGATTCCAATGAGGACACTAACCCAACTAATCTAAGTTAATTTATACTCATTTACACATTAGGAACTCGGTTTATTCGCCGGCAACTTCTGTATGCTTGTGCTTTTTATCTTTATTTTTCATTTTTGTTCTAGTATTTACTTTTATTGGCAACATTAATACACTATTGGTTGTCCTCCTTGTATCTTTGCAGAATCATCTGCAAACCATGCAGACGCTGACTGTTTTGCATGTGTAATCCTAACTCATGGGGACGATGCTGGTTCAATTTACGGAACAGATGGTCCCATCTCTTTAGATCAGCTTATTCATCCCTTCCGAGGGAATACCTGTCCGTCTCTCGCTGGCAAACCAAAAATGTTTTTCATTCAGGTTTGTTCAAAATTTCATAGCATGATTTAACGACCAATGTCGTAATTCTAATGGGCTAGGCAAAAATGCTCCCCAGTTATCAACGCTTCATCAAGAAGGATTGTAACTGTGAGAAATCATTAAAAAACTGAGGATGTTGTTAAAAATATCTCCAATTACACAAATATACCGTTCATACGAGTCATATTTAAAGCTCCTCTTACCTCTCATCCAACTTTTACGACATCGTTAACTATTTTAGGTGGCCTGTGGTAAAGCGGTTTAAAGTAATCGTGCGGTTTTGCTGTCTTATGTCTTGTGGTAACGTTCTGTTCTAAGGTTTTTGTCACAGGGACGCTTGTAATTATTTGTGCGCGTGACAAAGCAGATCTATCATTTAACGCCCCCAGGTGTGTCAGGTCACATCCGCCTTTGTGGTCGTCAGAAGGTCCAAACTT